GAGTGAAGGTGAAGAAGTTCAAATTCTGAGACCTTTGGCCATTATAAATCATCCAGTTCGCGTCCATTCGGCTACGTTAGTCGCACGCGCCGATCCACTTGGCGATACACCGAGTGGTCAGTTACCCTGCCATTTTCGATAGGATCATCAATTTCTTGGGGTCAGGACGGCGGTCTGAATCATGGTCGCCGAACAGGTTGGCGACACGCCAAACTACTTCTTGAGCTCGTCGAGTTTTACAGGCTCTGAATTAAGTATGAGTTGGGCCAAACGGCGGGTCGAGTCAGGCACGCCAACCATTTCGAAATTCACTGACTGACCATTTTACTCGCCAATATGCATTTTCCAAACACTTTCAGCATTTAAACCTACACCACTAACACACCATTATTTATAAAAGCAAACAAAAGCATATAAAACCTTGGGTTGCCTCCCAAGAAGCGCCTTAGTTAACTTCGTGGCACGACGCAAGTTTTTATTCACTCTCCATTGGTGGGGTTGGTCCTAGTATTACTAGGTAACCCCAATAGTTCATTTGAGTGAAGAGGAGTCATTGGATAAGTCATGAGAGTCCTGATCAGCTGAATCGATCTAGAATTGGATCCAATCATTTGATTCAACACTTCAATATTCTCATTCATCTCTTCCAACATTCGATCTTGTTCGGTGCTCTTTTGGAGAATGATTTGGAGTGTGTCCTCGACACGATTGTTCTCTCTGTCTCTAGATTATTTCTGCTCATAAGGGGGTATGTACCTCCCTTGGCTCTTGCACTGGTTTTCCACCTCTGATATTTTGGTGGCTAACTCGCTCAGCTGAGTTACCAGTGCGGTTAACTTGAAGTCCTTCTCGACTTCTTGACTCGTCTCAGCCGAGTTGCTACCATTTCCCTTAGTCATGCTTAGGGTATCTGCCTACATCAACAACTTCAAAGAAAAACAAAACTACAGATAAAGATAGTAAACTACGACTATCAAAAGCAAAATTCACGTAACACCACTCCCTGGGAGCGGTGCCATTTTGATGTTTGCGTAATCAAGACATAACTTCCAATGCAAGTGTTTATGATAGTACAATAATAAAGTAACCCAACCAAGTGTTGGGATCGTTCCCACAGGGAGTGGTTTTGAGAACTAATAGAAAAATAAAACTAAGTTCTTATTAGTCATAGTTAAAGTTATTATCGATTAAAAACATTATAAATCAATGGGGGTGACCCAAGCATCAATTAACAATGGGGTGTTTTGTTACAACTAAGCAAAAAAATAGCAAAAATACAAAAAGTACTAATCAAGGAGATGGGATTCTTGGGATGTGATAGGAATACGGGATAAATTATATTATTGGGTACATGCTTCTAATAGAGAATTCATAGAATAATTGTGACTAGGCTAGACATTAAGGGGGATAAGCTCTCTCTCTAGAGCAACTTACCCCATTTCAAGTGGGTTTCTCTCGAACACCCTCTTGCCTCATGAAGAACAGCCTCCGCCTTAGCACACTCACTCTCTCGAGCTGAGTGTGCGGGAATGAGAATAGGGTTCACTCTCCCGAGCTGAACCTCATGTCGACCCACTCCCACCGGCCATCAATTTAGTACTCTTATTTTTACGACCTCTCTCTCGAGCAAGCCGAAGACACATATATGAAATCATATTTACAACTAAAATCTCATTAAGTTCATCCATAACTACTACACGAAATCACATTTAAACTACAATTAAACTATGAGCAAGCAAGACCCAACAACTAATCTTACACATATTCACAAAATCACACCCTAAGAATTGAGGTTTTAGCTAGACATGTAAAAGAGATAGAAATTTATACCAAAATGAGTTTGTATTCAAATGGGTATGAAGATTAAGTCTCAAAACAAGCAAAGAGTTAAGAATCTACAAGACCCAAGTCCAAATTCTTGGAGTTCAAACCTTTGAATCTTCAAGTTCTTTGAAACCCTTTCCAAACTTAGAACTCAAAATTCTATGTTAAAAATTCACTAATAATAATTTCTAATTTGATGCTAAGCTACAAAACATCAACTAGTAGTTATAGTTTTCAGAAAATGTGTTGCAAAAGATCACTCGGCAAAGTTAGTCGAGATCGTCGATCAACTCGCCAATCCGCCTTTTGGTAGGTTTCATTGTCGTCTTGCTCTATCCTTCAACAGCATCATGTTTTAGATCATTGGGCGACATATTACTGCTTTGCGGAACTCCTCGGCGACACGCCTTCTTTTTATTACCGATTTGATCCTTTCCTTCATGGCTCAGCACGCTGGGAGAAAAGGCAAGGATAAGACCTTTTGGCGACTCGCCGAACGTGTTCGGCGTTTCTCAGATCTTCATTTCTTTGTCCTTTCAGCTACTTTTGTTCCTTTTTGCTAAGTAGTGTCCATGGTTTCCCTCAAACTCCAAATACCTGAAACTTAAGGGTTTTCATCAGATATTAAGATAAAATATGCATTTGAGAACACTAATTCTATCATAATATAGCCCTGAATTAGTCCAATTTGTGGACTCATCAGAAGCGTGCCGCGCCACATTGATGAACTAGAGGCTATAAGATGTTTAGGAAACTCCACTTATTTCATTACTCTAAAGTCGTGCGATAGAGTTCAACTCATAATGTCTCTCTCCTAATCCTTATCTAATGCTCTACAAGATATGGCCACTCGAAGGGCATATGCTAGAAGGAATGTGAGAGAGAATTGAATCAAGAGGCTCATCCTCATTTAGGGTCGAGCAAGTGACTAAAGATTTTCAAGTGACTAATGCAGAATTTAGGGCTACTTTTCAAGTGTTGGCTCAAGCCATGACGGCCCAAGCCAATAGGGAGCATGCAGTCCCCGTGAATCCAAATGTGGGTACGATGGTGTCTAGAGTGAAGGACTTCACTAGAATGAATCCTCCGGAGTTTTATGGATCAGAGGTTGAGGAAAACCCTCAATAGTTCATTGATGAGGTTTACAAGGTGTTGATGATCATGGGAGTGACGCAGGTGGAAAAGGCAGAATTGGCCGATTATCAACTTAAAGGTTTTGCTCAAATATGGTTCAACCAATGGAAAGAAGGGAGAGCAGAAGATGTAGGTCTCCTCAATTGGGAAAAGTTCACAGTTGCTTTCCTTGATAGGTTCTTTCCCCTTTAGATGAGGGGGGGAAAAGGTGTTTGAATTCATAAACCTTGTCAAGGAAATATGAGTGTGAAGGAATATACTTTAAAGTTCACACAATTATCTCGATATGCTCCTACTATGGTTGTCGATCCGAGGGCAAAGATGAGTAAGTTTGTTTCGGGTCTACTTGAGATAGTGGTTAAGGAATGTCGTACCGCTATGCTTATTAATGATATGGACATTTCTTTTCTCATGGTTCATGCTCAAAAAAATTGAAGAGGAGAAACATAAGGAAAGTTATAGGGAGGCAAAGAGGGCTAAGACCGGTGATGGTAACTTCTCACATTCAAGTTCCGATGGACATGGTCTTTACAAGTTTCGACAAAGGTTTTCATGTCAATGTTCCTCCAATGATCCTCATAAGTTCAACAGTGATAACATGTCTACCCCTTAGCCTCAAGGAGGAAATGGTAACGGCTCTTCATTGTCCATGTCTACTTGTGCTTGGTGTGGAAGAAAGCACGAGGGTAAATTATTAGCCAGCACGGATGGTTGCTTTGGTTGTGGAAAGAGTGGTCATAAAATGAGGGATTGTCCAATGCTTGCGGCTAAAGGGAGAGAAGGTAAAAAAGCTCCGTCTAGTGGTTCAGGTTAAGTGCCACAAAGACAAACTAATTCTAGGAACTTCAGACTCATGGTGAACAAGAGGGTTCTTCCGATGTGGTTATCGGTATGTTGAAAGTCTTCCAACTTGATATTTATTCTTTACTTGAACCCGGTGTTACTTTGTCCTTTGTGATGCCATATGTGGCTATAAGGTTTGATATTCTTCCGAATGTGTTGTTATATCATTTTTCTGTCTCTATTCTTGTTGGTGACTCTGTTATGGCTAAGAGGATCTATAAAAAGTGTCCCGTCTCCTTGTCCCGTAGAGTCACTCATGTTGACATTGTAGAGCTAGTTATCCTTGGTATGGATTGGTTGCATGCATGTTATGCTTCTATTGATTGTAGAACCTGTGTAGTCAAGTTTCAGTTTCCAAATAAACCCATCCTGGAGTGGAAAGGGGGAAATTCTATGCCTAAGGATCAGTTTATCTCTTGTCTTAAAGCTAGAAAGATGATTTAGAAGGGTTGTATTTACCATCTAGTTAGGGTGAGGGATATAGATTTTGAGACCCCTACTCTTGAGTCGGTCCTCGTTGCAAATGAGTTTCTGGAAGTGTCTGCTGATGATTTACTCAATATTCCTTCCAAAAGGGAAATAGACTTCGGTATTGACCTTCTCCCATATACACAACATATCTTTATTCCTCCTTATCGTATAGCTCCTATATAACTTAAGGAATTAAAGGAGCATTTGAAATATTTGTTAAATAAGGGTTTCATCTGACCAAGCATCTCTACATGGGGTGCTCCAAATTTTTTTTTAGAAAGAAACACGATTCGCTCCGTATGTGTATCGACTACCGGTAATTGATTAAGGTTACCATTAAGAATAAGTATCCTCTTCCAAGGATAGATGATTTGTTTGACCAACTTCAAGGAGCAAGATACTTTTCTATTGACCTCCGGTCGGGTTATCACCAATTGACGGTGAAAGAAGATGACATTCTGAAGATGACTTTTTGAACTTAGCATGATCATTATGAGTTCTTAGTGATGTAATTTGGTTTGACTAATGCTCTGGCGACATTTATGGATTTGATGAATCGGGTGTTTAAACAATACCTTGACATGTTTGTGATTGTGTTCATTGATGATATATTGGTCTATTCGAGGAGTGAAGACGAGCATACCGATCATTTGAGGATTGTATTGCAAGTCCTCAAGGACCAACAACTCTTTGCAAAGTTTAGCAAACAAGAGTTTTGGCTAAGGTCTATGGCTTTTCTTGGTCATATAATTTCCAGTGAGGGTATTGAGGTAGATCCTAAGAAGACGGATGCGGTTAAGAGTTTGCCTAAACCTCTATCCCCTTTGGATATAGGAAATTTCTTGGGTTTATCCGGTTACTATAGAATATTTGTTGAAGGGTTTTCTTTGATTGCTTCTCCATTGACAGCATTGACTCAAAAGAAGGTTAAGTCCATATGGTCTGAAGCGTGTGAAAAGATTTTTCAAGAATTGAAAGATAGACTTACTTCTGCTCCAGTGTTGATTTTACTAGAAGGGACAGATAGTTTTGTTGTTTATTGTGATGCCTCGAGAATTGGAATAGGATGTGTCCATATGCAAAATGGGAAAGTTATTGCCTATGCTTCAAGGGAACTTAAGATTCATTAGAAGAATTATCCTACCCATGACCATGAACTAGCGGCGGTCGTTTTTGCCTTAAAAATTTGGAGACATTACTTGGATGGTGTTCATGTAGACGTTTTTACTAACCACAAGAGTTTGCAATATGTGTTTGCCAGAAAGATCTAAATCTCACCATATAAGGTGGCCTGAGTTACTAAAGGATTATGACATGAGTGTTCTCTATCACCCCGGTAAGGCAATATGGTGGCGGATGCTCTTAATCGATTATTGATAGGCAGTGTTGCTCATATTGAGGAAATCAAGAAAGAGTTAGTTTGAGATGTTCACAGATTGACCCGGTGTTCGGTTAGTCGACTCTACTAAAGATGGTGTTATGGTTCACAATGGTTCAGAATCATCCCTTGTGGCAGATGTGAAGGCCAAGCAAGGTCTTGATCCGACTTTGGTTGAATTGAAGGAAGCGGTGCTTAAAACATCCGTAGAGGATTTCTCCCAAGGGGGATATAGTGTGCTTTGATATCAAGGTCGTATGTGTGTTCCTATTATTGATGACTTAAGAGAGCAAATTTTAGTAGAAGACCATATTTCTCGATATTATATTCACCTAGGATCCACCAAGATGTATTGTGACTTGTGAAAGATCTATTGGTGGAATGGGATGAAGAGAGATATTATGGAATTTGTGGCTAAGTGTCCTAATTGTCAACAACTGAAGGTTGAACATCAAAAGCCAGGAAGTTTGTCTCAAAATATTGGCATTCCTACCTGGAAGTGGAAATATTTTAACATGAACTTCATTGTTGGTTTACCACGCACCCGGTGACAACATGACTCGATTTGAGCTATTGTAGATTGGATGACGAAATCAGCCCATTTCATTCCCGTCAAAGTTTCATATTTGGTGGAGGACTATGCTAAGTTGTATTGGAAAGAAATGGTGAGATTGCATGGAGTGCCCTTATCCATTATCTCCGATTGTGGTTCCCAATTCACTTCTCAGCTTTGGAAATCTTTCCAAAAGGGTCCTGGTACTCGTGTTAAGTGTAGTACAACCTTTCATCCACAAACCGATGGGCAAGAGGAGCGTACAATTCAAACTTTGGAAGCTATGTTGAGAGCATGTGTATTTGACTTCAAGGATAAATGGGATAATCATTTGACTTTGATAGAATTTGCGTACAACAATAGTTGTTACTCAAGTATTGGCATGACTCCATTTGAGGCTCTATATGGTAGGAGGTGTAGATCTCCAATAGGTTGGTTTGAGGTGGGTGAAGTTTCCCTAATAGGTCACGAGTTGGTACATGAGGCTATGGAGAAAGTTCGACTTGTTAGAGAGAGGTTGAAAATGGCTCAAAGTCGACAAAAGTCCTATACTGATGTGAGAAAAAAAATCTTGAGTTTGAGGTAGATGGTTGGGTCTACTTGAAAATTTCACCCATGAAGGATATAATGAGATTTGGGAAGAAAGGGAAACTTAGTCACCGTTATGTGGGCCCATATAAGATTTTGAGGCGAATTGGCAAGGTTGCTTATGAACTTGATTTGCCTAATGAGTTGACATTAGTGCATCCAGTTTTCCATGTCTCCTTGTTGAAGAAATGTGTTGGAGATCCAACATCTATAGTTCCCTTAGAAGGTTTGGGAGTTAAGAAGAATCTTTCTTATGAGGAAGTTCCAGTTGAGATTTTAGACCGGCAAGTCAAGAAGTTGAGAAATAAAGAAGTTGTTTCTATAAAGATTCTTTGGAGGAATCAATTAGTTGAGGGTACTACTAGGGAGGTTGGGGCCGATATGATTTCTCGTTATCCTCATCTATTTTCCTCCATCCTTACTTAAGTTTGAGGTATTTAGCTCCTCATGGTTTACTCATTAAGTTTGAGGTATTTAGCTCCTCATGGTTTACTCATTGAATGTCATGTATCTTAGATATTCCCATGATTTTCTCATTATGCATAATTAATGAGAAGTTTAAGTTTTGAGAAAATGAGTTTACTTGATTGATTTCTACTTGTTTATGTGCATTTGAGTATGAGTTGCATATAGACCTCATGATATGATGTGTTGAACATGATTTATCTTGGAGTTGATGTTTCCTCCTCGGATATGGGCATTTATGTAGTTACATGCATGTTTGGCTGTTAGGTTAAGTTTCTACCTTCCTTATGATGTCTTGAATTCCATTCGAGGAAGAATTTTCCCAAGGGGGAGATATTGTAACACCTCAGATTCAAAAAGGGAGAAAATTTTATTTTGTAGAACAGATGACACCATCCACGGACTGTAAGTGGGACGACGGTCCGTAGGTGGTGGCGTGGTCAGTAAGTTAAAGTTTTATAAAATGTCAAGTTTCAGTACTTTTTCGACAGTCGAGACCTATGGTCGGGACCCACGTCCCATCGATAGAACCATGGTTCGTGGGTGGGGCCCGTCATTCAAGGTCCAAAGACTGGTCTCTGAACTCCAAATGACGACAAACCAGTACGGTCTGTGGTCTGACCAATGGACCGTAGGTCATGCCGTCGACGGGGGTCGGCAATTATTTTCTTAGGAGCTTTTGGGTCTTTTCCTAATTATTCTAGCCTAATACTATGTCGTTTTACCCTTAACCTAAAGCCCTATATAAGAATTTTAAACCCAAATTTCCTCAATTGAAATCATTCTCTCAAATTCTTAAAAGAAGAACAAGTCTTTCTCTCCAAAATATTTCTCTCTCTAGGAAGCTTGAAGAAGAAGGAGTAAACCTAGGGTTTCAAGTCAAGAGTCCAATTCCACCATTGAAGGCAAGCTTTTGGTATTGAGGTATGATAGGTTTCATCCATGGATCACTTTCCTCCATGGAGTTCCTAAATTCTCCAATTTACAAAGTTAGAAATCCCCAATTGAGTTAGATATTTTCTTTTATGTCATGGGTTCCTTTCAATGTTGATTTACTTAATTGATTTATGAAATTTTATGCATTAATTGATATAATCTCATGATTTTAAGATGAGTCCCCATGAACCCATGCTTAACCCATGTTTTCTAGATATTGATGATTGAAAGTGGGTTTTGAACTATGAAAGGTGAATTATAATATTATGCATGTTCTTATGGAATTGATGAGATATGGTGTAGATTTATTTGAGATTAAAAGCATATATGTTGTTGTTGTGGTTAATTGTTGTGAAAGGATTGCTCACATAACTACCTCATGCATGAATGTGAAAGGTTTTCTCACATAAAGGATGATAAGGTTGAAAGGTCTTCTCACCTAAAATGAATCAAAGTTAAGGGGTTATTCTAATGAAACCTAGCTTGGATTGGTTACTCAATTCTACCTTTCCATGGATGAAATATGACTTAGCTTGGATTGGTAATCTGACATGCCCTTCCATGGATAATAAGAACAAATTAAGAAAATGACTATTACGTGTTGATGGCTCACATGGTATATATGTCGGTTAAAGGTAAATCTCCCACAAAAATGAACTAAGGTTACTTAAAGAAGTATCATATGTGATTTTAAGATGACGTTTATTTGCATTGACCATGTTTTGTGACTTATGTCTTCTTGAACCTTTTATATCATGTTTAGCTTGGTCATTGCATACTATGAACGTATCCCCTTTCTCTTTAAGCATGTTTTCAAATGTTTTATGAATGGCTATCATACTTGGTACATGTTTTGTACTATCCCATACTCTTTCTTACATTTCCCCAAATGTAGGGGCCGACCTTGCAGATTCACACTTCCGTCGCTAGGGATCTCACATAGAGCTTGAAGATTGGTGAGTCCTCTTGTTCCGAGGATCGAGCTTGATTTCCCTTTTTGTCTTTACTTTAAGGGCTACGTCCCGATCATTTCTTATGTACTATATGGCTTTGAGACAATGCTTAGACTTCTGCTTTACTCTATAATTTTTTCTATGTTGAAGCTGTCTTTTAATCTCTTATATTCTATTATATTGTATGATGAATGCTAAGTGGATTGTATGGGGCCTCTCGGGGTATTATACACCGTGTTATGCCTAGGGGCTACCTTGGGTCGTGACATCTACGACTCGTTTAAATTTATACGGCTCGTCCTGTTCATTCGCAAGTCAAACTTCAAAAACTTTAAAATTCTAAATTCTCATCTCCAAGTCTACGACTCACTTTCTATGGGTCGTAGAATTTCCTATAGTCCGTAGAAAGAACTCATAGAACATGCTTCAGTGCAAAAAATTAGAATTTTCCCTTTCCTTTCAACTTTTAATTTCTGAGGTGTTATAAAATGAAAGCCCAATGATGAGGTAAATAAAAATTAGATGAAGATTGATAATTTATGGATGGAGATATTGTGATACTAGAGTGGTTTGATGGTAAAACAATTGATTTGGAGAACTCAATGATTAAGTTAAAAATGATCTTCTCATATGGAACTTTAGTTGTGGTGGTTTCGATTTTAATGATGAAGTTAACAGGTGTTTTAGGGTCATTTCAAATGGTGAAGTTGATGACTATTTTGGGGTGGGTCTATAGTGGAAACATGGTAGGTCATTGATGCTTATCGTGACCAATGACACTACTTCTGATTCAAGTGTCTACGATCGTCGATAATATAGTAACTCAACCAAGGGTTGGGGTCGTGTCCCAAGGGAGTGGTTTTGAGAATTTATAGAAAAATAAAATTTATTTCTAACAAGTCGTAGCTAAAGATATTAACGATTAAAAACATAGTAAATTAAAGGGGGTGACACCAAAGTGTCAAATATCAATGGAGGGTTGGCCACAAGTATAGCTAAAATAACAAAATTAAAGAGAAAATTCAAATATGGAGAGAAGTTCTTGGAGTCTGACCGCAATATATGTTTATATGAATCGTTGGGTACATACTTTCGATAGGAAATTTTCAAGATAATAGTGACTAGGCTAAGTTTTAAATGGAAATAAGTTCCCTCTCGGGAAAATTACACCGTTTCAAATGGGTTCCTCTCGGACACCCATTTGCCGCATAAAGGCCAGCCTACGCCTTACCCCACTCACTCTCTCGAGCTGAGTGT